CTGGATCTAGATTCATGAATCTATTTCCAGTTAAATGGACATTTTACTGCACAGTGTGGCCTTCACTCTATAAAAAGAACAGTATTTGAGTTACTCTTAAAATTCCCCTTCCAATAAGGAGAAAGACAGGTTTGGGCCAATGCTTGCCTGGACTTTATCATCCATTGTTCCAGCAGAATCTTGGGACTCCTTTTACAGTTTAACTTTATAATCTCTTTAAAAGGAAACACTGAAGAAAATTCATGATTCTCTTACTTTGATGCAAGTGCCAGTCAGTTAATAATCTTTAAAAAAAAGTTACTACCATATGAATTTCCTACTACCATATCCTATTTTGCCCTAAGATTTTAAGAGCATCAACAGTGGTGTTTCTGAAACTACTTCTCCAAAGAGTTATAAAGCAGTAAAGGAAAAGAAATATGTTGGCCTTGAAGGTGATACCATAAAGGCCTTCAGTTACTTGTAGTCAGAGCCATGCTCATTTGTTTACTCTGGGCTATTCTTCACATGGTGGCTGTGATCACAGTGTTCTGTGAGGGAATTTCTGCTTTTATTGTAAGTAGTTGGTGTTGCAAGAGAACTACCCAGGCTTACCGTGAATGCTCTTTCCATTTCCTGCAAGTCAATGTCCTGCTATATGAAGCTTGTGTTTTCCTAGCTCCCACCATCTTCCCCCGGGTGCAGATGCTTGAACTGGTTTTCCTTGATTGGTACTGTGGTCCTCTTCTGTGGCCTTTGGTGACAGTTGATGGAATCCCAGTGGTTTGTGGAGCCACAGAAAAATATTAGAGAGGACTGCAAAAATGGTTTGTTAGGTCAGATTACCATAGAGGTAGGTGCTGGTTCCTGGATTGGGTGGTTGGGGACCCTGTCTTGCTATGGCTCTTGAGTTGGGTTTGAGGCTCGGTGACTCTCTGGCGCCACACACTGGCATTTTAGTCGTAGACAAAGCCTTCTGGACTCAGCAATTAGAGCAGCAGTTGATCCCAGAGAAAGTAGTGGAGAGACAAGGTAAAAGTCTCTGTGAAACCTGTCTTACAGAGACACAGGACTAAGCCAAGTCATTTTTGTTCAAAATGTCTTACCTTCAGACATTTAAAGTCAGAGCTAGTCACAGTTCTCATCTGTACCGTCTAGTTCTTGTTTTCTTTCTTTATTTTTTTACTTACTGATAGCACTAACACCACTGAAAAAATCATTTAAAAGGAAGAAAACAGTAAAAATCTACACTTCATTCCTGCACCATTCTTCCAAGAAAGCAGTTAATTGCATTTGGTACATATCCTACCAACTTCTTGACTGTGTTTTTGCAAACATACATGTAAATATAACACCAAAATATGTCAGACTGCATTATGAGTAACCTGCACTTAATTTTTTACTTAATGTTATACATAGGGCACCTTCCATATCAATACCTGCAGAATCATTCCATACTTTTGTATAGCTGCATAACATTCCCTTCTAATCATTCATTTAACTAGGCCCTTAATGGCAACCTTAGTTATGGGTTTTGTTGGTACCTGGGTTCGAATTTGGGACCTTATGCTTGCAAGGCAGGCAGTGGGACCACTGAGCTAAATCCCCGGCCCAGTTGTTGGTTTGTTGTAAAAATTCTTAACCTCTTTTCTCTGCATTTGTATAGCAAGGGAATACTGCCTTACTGGGATTGCTGTGTGTGACATTCTTACACATGTTATCACGGGCACTGCTACTACCTGTAGGTTGCTGCCTTGCTTGGCAGTGAAAGGGGCACAGAAAAGACAGGCTCCTCTGATTGCTCTCGCCGGACCCCACTAATTGTCCCACTCATTACCCTTGATGTCTACCTGCTCACCACAGCTGGAATGCCAGGGCATGAAGAAACTCCTTTATAAATGCCTCCCTTCCATGCATTTCCACCTAACCTTCCTTTGGTTACTGAGTTTGCTTATTTTCCATTTGTCAGTTATTCAACATGGTTTCTGGGCCCTGGAGTCTCTTTGTTTTGGTTTGTTTTTTTGTCTTCCATGCAGCTCCAGATCTGTTCATTTGTTATATATTTTAGGGTGTTTGTATGGATGTGGATGGTAAGAGATAGCTACAGCTATGTTTTTCACTTTTGAATGAGGTTTTATTTTGTATAAATGTTTGGTATATAGATCTTGATGAATTTTTAAATAATTTCTTAATTGAATTATTAAAATGTTTTGTAGCATTGCTTTTCTTTTCTACTCGATCTGAAAGAAATAATGCCCCAGAAAAGAGCATTAATTAACTCATCCCCAGAACCTGTGCATGTATTCAGATACATGGCAAAGGAGGGTTAAAGTTGCTGATTAACTCATCTTAAAATAGGGAGATTATTCCAGATTATCTGTACAGGCCCGATAGCTGTATTCTCGTTATCTCTGTGATGAGAGATATTTGTTTTTATCTCAATTAAAATTGATTATATTGCACTTTAATTTACTATTACTGATTACTCTAGAAATAGCAACTTGTATATCTCAATTTTTCATTTTACTTCTCAATTATTGCTAAAATCTTAGGGCACAAATTCATTCACCCTTCTCCTATCTTTCATATTTTGTTTCTCATGCACAGAGTTTTATGCTTATTTTTAACTCCACACTATGGCCATTTCTTCGCATGGTCATTTATTGTTACCTACAAATTGGTTCATTTCCTCCGAAACTCCATATTTTCCAATTTCCATGTTTACTTCCGCCAGTAGGACTCCCTTCAGCATTTTCACATAGGCTTGCTGGCAATAAATTGAGCAGTTTTGCTTTTCTATTCACTTTTTGGGTTCCATTTGTTGTTGTTTGTTTATTTGAAGGTTTTCTTCTTTGGTTTTTTTTTTTTTTTTTTTTTTGGGGTAGATCAAACTCGGGATCTTGCACTTGCAGGCAGGAGCAGCATCACTGAACTACAACCCTGGCCCTATTGAGTTTTGTTATGCACAGACTGAATGAATCTTGTCTACCTTAGAAAATACCTAGCTACTATCCCTTTGAATATTATTCTGCCCTATTTCTTTCTCTTTTCCTTCAGAAACTCTCATTTTACATAGTTGATCCTTTGTTCATGTTTTATAGGTCTTTCATTTGTTTCTATTTTCCCCCATTCTTTTTCTCCATACTTCATTTTGTGTATTTTTATTTCTATATTTCCTATCCCCAAGACCTGCATTCAGCAGTGGCTGATCTATTGCCAAACTCATACATTGAGCTTTAAAGTTTAATTTTGAAATAATTTTAAATTTATGGAAACATTCCCAAAGAACAGTAGAACGAGCTCTTATATTCTTTTCATCCAGATTTTCCAGTCAGTGGTTTCATATTTGCTCCATCTCTCTATAAATAGATAGACCAATGTGTATATTCAAGAATATGATAGCATTTTAGAGAACAATTTAAGAGCAAGCTGCAGGCTTTATGCCTTATTACTTCTAAATAGTTCTATGTATATTTCTTCCAAACAAATTCACTCTCCCCAATAGCTATCACTAAATCTTTCAAATCAGAAAATGAACAATGGTAAACGCTACTCTCCAAACCACAGGCTATTACTATCCCATCCACAGTTCTTATGTCGATTTTGCCAGCAGTCTCCACATCGAGTCATTTCTCCTTTTGACTTAGGATGGAGTCCAGCACCATATTATATTTTGTCTTTCCCTCGCTTCCCTTCCCTAGTCTTTTCTTATTTTTCAAGACCTTGACAGCTTCAAAAGCACCATCATTTCAGGTGTTTTTTTTAATTCTATTTTTCACTGGTTGAAATTTGTTATTATCATTTATTCTGATGTTCAAATTGTTTTATGCTTAGCTAGTTGAATCTTGAAAAAGCTGCTTCTTGACATGTTACCTTCATTCTTTACTTTTAGGAATAGTATGATGGACTGGACTGTTGCTGAATATTCTCTACCCTAGTCCTTGAATCTGCTATTTTTATGAGGAGTCCTTGTTCTTTTTTGAGAGAAGTCAGCATATAGAATTGAGTCTGGATATTTAGTATCTCATTGCTACTGGGTTGTCACTGTACCAAGGCTCTCCTCATGGACACAATTTGCAAATATATGCACACGTTCATGTATATGTATACGTTCATGCTTACACGCATATCTATCTATCCACCAATCAACAATAAGAGCTTCAATGAGATTTTAAATTTTAGTCCAATATCTTAGAAATCATTTTTCTCTCCCCTTTTTAGAGTCATACATCCCACTTTTCATGGTGAGAAATTTAGCTTCCATTAGCTTCAACATGGACCCGTTTTGAAAATTCCATCCTTCTCTACAATTCGTTTTTTGAACACGCCAAGTGCTGCCATTTGGTCAGCAGGCACACTGCAGCCTGCCCTGCGCCTCTCTCGTGGTGGGTTCTTTGCCACTAGGCAAAGCAGCATCTCCATCTCCGTACCTCTACCCACTTCCTGGGCTGCTGGACACACTGTTATCTCTAGGCACCCTCTCTATTGTCCTCTCCTCCATGCATCGATTTCTCAAACCTCAGATATTATGCTTGTCAGAATTGGTATCTAATGGCCTGATTTATAGATTGCTTTTACTGAAAATCCATCTTCCCATCTACTTTGTCTTATTCTTTTCTCTATGCTTGGAACACATGAATAACAATTTCTTGTAAGTCCTTGTTCACTAATTCCAATATCTTGATCAAATACGGCTAACGTTTGTTTTTTCTTTCGATTATTGGACAAATTAGCTTTATCTTTCAGGACTAGTAATTTTTCAAGTGTTGGAGATTGTGCATATTAAAATCATAGAGAGTGTGGATAATGTTGTCTTCCACAAAAGAAGATTCCCTTTTCTTTTGTCAGGCAGATAGAATGACTGCTGGTAATCTCAATCCAGTCAAGCATCAATTTTAATCAGAATCTAGTTTCAGTTTTGATGAGTGTACTTCTGTCTCTCCTCTTTTCTTTCTTCTTAAAAATTATTTTTCTTTTTATCTTTTCCTTCTGTCTTCTCTCCTCTCCTCTCCTTCCATTCTTTCTTCCTCCCTTCCTTTTTTCCTGCTTTCCTTTCTCCTGTAGTAGAAGGACACACAATAAACAAAAGTAACACAAACAAATAACAATAAACAAAAGCATATCTCCTAGTTAATATATAATTCTTTTTACCTGTTTGTCTTAAACAAGGGGTAAGGGGCCAGGACAAAGATGTCTAATACAATCCAAGCCTGTAGTCTATAAGGGACTTGGACAAAATCTCAAGAGTTCTCAAGGACAAGATGGGTACAGTTTACCTATAATAATGCATAAAAGTCTTATACTCGGCTTTTTTATATTTGCTGATAATGTCCTTTCCCTATTTATTATAAAATTTAGATGGTTATAGTGTCATATCAAAAGGTTGAAAATGTGATTACAAGAATAGGGTTAATTATTTTGTATAATCTGAACATCACAGTTAAAATATGTATACCTGAGAGTTAGGCTGCAGGTGCCATTTTACCTATTCCTATGAGTATATTTTCCATAAAGATCATAACATCTCCCAAGTTTCTGCTGCTTAGATAGTGAGTCTTTGTGCTTCTTTCCTGATTTTGTGGGGTTCTGCATGTCCATAGGTTAGAGACTTCCTTCGTCTTCAGGGTATTGGAACTTACACACTTCTTCCCAATTCCATTCCTCCTGCGGAGGAGTTGCTTTTCTAATTGGCGAAAATAGGAAAAAATATTATTTTAAAAATTCTTTTCCCGATGAATGTTTCCACAGAATGTTTCCATTCTTGTCTTCTGAGGGCCACAGTTTGACATAGATCATTCTTCCTAGCTGACTCCTGTCTCAATTGATTCGAAACCTGTAGACAAAAGGAGTGTGCCAGTTCTTATCAAGTATTAAATGGTTTCTTTTGTTACTCCAAAACTCCAGATGGCTACAGCTTCCCACACGTATTCCTAGAATCTCTATTATTTAACCCACTTCTATATGAATGGATTTAAAAAGTTTCACATATATAGTATATATAGAAAATGTTTCCTGTGTGTATATAGAATACATATATGGATACGTTCACAAGAAGAATTGAATCTTGTCACTCAAAGTAAAATGGATGAAACTGGAGGACATTGTGTTAAGTGAAATAAGCCAGGCACAGAAATACTGTACAAATATTGCATGCTTTCACTTAGATGTAGAAGAAAAAATCATTGGCCTCAAAGAAGACAGAGTAGAGTACTGACTGCTAGATGGTGCCAAGGCTAAAGAGAGGAGTCTGAAGGAGGCAGTTGTAGCCCACACTAAAATACAGGTGCATGGAATGAATATGTTCCACTGTTCTACAGCACTATAGGGTGGCTATGATTCACAATAAGCTTATATATTTTATGAAGAACTAGAGGAGAGGAGCAGAGTTTTCAAATACAAAAATGTGATCAATGTATAAGGAGAGGGAACTGTACTCTGATGTTGCCATCATACATTTTATACATGTTTGAATTATCATCTTACAGTCCTTAAATATATATAATGATTATATGTCAATTTAAATGAAAGAACAAAAACAGTTTAAAGCTTTCACCATTCAAACTCTCTTCTAAGATGCATCAAGTCACGTCCACTGCTCCTTGGGCTGGCTCGGATTCACCACACCATCACATCTAGTTCATTACTCGTATTGCAGTCACAGAAGTTTCTCTTTTCCTGATCACCCAAAATACATCCAAATAATGAAAATCACTGACATTGGCCAATCATAATGCTGGGCCAACATCACTAAGCAAGATTCTATTTCCATTTAATAAAACCAAGATCATATATACTACAGCCTTTTACCATCTAAGCATACTTTTTCTTTTTTCAACTATCCTTTGCAAACTTAACTCTTTATGAACACAATGCTCTATTTTGTTGTTTAATATGACATAGAATATGATCGATGTCTTCAAAATAAACACACAATGATTTATGTCTCACTGTGAATATACCAAAAATAGCATTAAAATATATTTACAAATAAATAAAGTGCTGAAGAACCTAATCTATAGGTATGAGGAGAGAAAGCCTGTGGAAGGTCAGCAAACTTATGACTAGTTTAAGAAGTTAGCGGGTCAGAAAGGGCAGCCTGGTGGAGGGCAGAAGAGAGGTGGTGATGAGAACAAGGCTAGAGAGCTGTCAGTGCCAGTCTGAAAACAGCAAAGATGATCCACACAGATAGATGTAAATTAAATGCTTTTTCTTCCCTTGAATGTTGGAGACAGAAGGAAAAATGGTTGGGGATAAAGAGTTATTGACTAGCATCTAACAGGTTATGAATTACTACAACAAAAAGTTTTTGAGTAGAAAGGAAGTAAAATCATTGCTCTGAGAATTATTAATGAAAAGTGGGGCTAAATTGACTCAAAATTACCCCAAAGCCATAAACTGTGCAAGCAAGAATAACATAAAGTGAACTATTTTAAGGCACTGAAAGAAAAAAAACTTACCAAACTAGGGTCTTGTGTATAGCAAAATTATCTTACAACATGAAGAGAAATACTTTCTCAGACAGATACAAATCAAGGGAATTTATTATCAGTAGACTTGCTTTGAAAGAAATGTTAAAAGACAGTTCTTCATAGAGAAAGAAAACTATATAGGTCATAAATGAGGATCTACATTTAAAAAGAAAGAGTTATAAAGGTGTAGGGAAAGTGGGAAGGGTAGGGGAAAGAGAACAAGGGAAAAGAAAAAAATATGAGAAAATGAAAAACTGGAAAGAAAGTGTTTGTAAATGGGGAGGGGAGGAGGGGACGAAGGGAGGGCAGAGACAAAGGGAAAAAATGAGAGCCAAAAACTGTCATGTAGAGGTACAAGTCCCAGTGATGAATGTAACTGTACTGTATACCTAAAATGTAACAATAAACTCAATTTAAAAAGGAAGAGTTATAAAAGGAATAAGTAAACATAAATACTTTTGCTTTTCTTTTCATAGTTGATCCAAGAGAGAAAAATTTATTCAAAATAACAACAACAATGTATTTGGTGATTATAAACTATGGATAAATGAAATAAATGACAGAAACGTGAGGGCCTGGGGCTGTAATCAGTGGTAGAACAGATGCTTAATATGCAAAGGACCCTGGGTTCAATCCTACTGCATACACACACATGCATGCACACACACACACACACACCACAGAAAACAGAAATGAGGGTTGGGAATTTAGCTCAGTGGTGCTGCCACCTGCTTCGCAAGCACAAGGGCCTGAGTTCAGTCCCCAGTACCCCACCAAAAATAAATAAATAAATATAAAAAAAGAAATGTTATAAACAATGAGAAAGAAGAATTAGAAATAATGCAAGGTGTTTATACTATCTGTGAAGTGCTAGCATGTTCCTTGCATATAGAATATGATTATCTATAAGTGCGTATTTCATACTCTAGAATAATCTGAAATTTTTTGAAAAGAATTATATTGATGGTAAGAGATGAGATAAAAATGTCATAGTATAAAATGCTCAATTAAAACCAGGAAGTCCCTTCCCTTAAGAAAAGAGTGGAGGACAAAAAAAGAAAAGGAAGAAAGAGAGATACCAGTAGCAAATATGATCGATATCAATGGAACTCTACAAATAATGACTTTAGACATGAATAGTTTAAATATTCTGATTGAAAGACCAAGATTGTCAGAGTGAACAACAAATGAGACCCAAATATATGTTGTCCATGATAAACCCACTTTGAATATAAAGGCAGAGATAACATTAATATGAAGGGATGGAGATATAGATGCCATGACAACATTAATCAAAAGGATGCTGGGGTAGCCATATTTGTTTTGGACAAAGCCAGACTTCAGAGGAAGAAAGGGAATCAGGGATAAGGAGTAGTAGCACATAATGATAAATGTGTCAATTCTCCAAGAAGACACAACAATCTTTAATCCACATCACCTACCAACAGAACATTAAAACACATGTAGCAAAAAGTTACAAAACTTCAAGGAGGATGAGACAAATCTATTATTTCAGTTGGTAAATGCAACCTCCCTTTATTGATAAGACACAGATCCAGTGGCAGGAAGTCACTAATAACAGAAGTGAACCAAACAATTAGATCAAACAGATCTAACTGACATTTACAAGATACATTGTCTGATGACAGCAGAATACACATTCTTCTCAAGCTCAAAGAGAACAGTTAAGATAGAGCAGAAACATCCCTTTAAAAGAATAGAAAGCAAGCAAAGTATGCTGCAGACCAAAATTGGAACTAGAAATTAATAACAGGAAGGTGGTTGGAAATTTTTAAATGTTTGGAGAATAAACAAGGTGCCTTTAAATAAGAAATGGATCAAAGAAGTAATCCCAAAAAAACTTGAAAGTATTTTGAACTAAATTCAAAATGAAAATATAACAGCAAAATCTGTGGGAGCCAGATGTAATGGTACACACCTATAACCCCAGCACTCTGGGATGCTGAGGCAGGAGGATCACAAGTTAAAGTCCAGTCTGTGTGATTTAGTGACTTAGCAAGAAGTCATCATTTTAACAAATGTACTGTGCTGAGGCAAGATACTGACATTAGGGGAAATTGTGCATGGGCCAAGGTGGGGAGAAAGAAATATGGACAGTCTCTGACTTACAAGGCTCAGCATCCAATCTCTCACCTGCAGGATGCTGTGAAAGTGATATGCATTCAGTGGAAACTGTATTTTGGACTTTTAATTCTTGTCCCTTCCGGGGCAGGGATCTGTGTTACCATGTTGGGCCACACCTCTGAGCCTGCCACAGTATTACAAGGAAAAGCAGCAGATGCTTGCGTTTATAGAGCGTCATGTTGCTAAGCTAGGATGTATGTCAGGTGTATTCAATGCAGTTTTGACTTAACGATATATGCATCTGCTATGGGGTCAACAGGAATGTAACCCCAATGGAAGTCAGACAGCAGCTGTATATGGAACATGAAAACTCTCTGTAACTTTTGCTCAATTTTTATATAAATCTACAATTGCTCTGAAATATGATTTATGACTTTAAACAAAATAATAAGTAAGAAAAGAGATTACCCTAGGGCAATTCAAATCTCAGTCTTACTACTAGACGTGTGATTTCAGAGAGGTCATTTGATTTTTCTGAGCCTTAGTTTCATCATTTATAGACCAGAGTAGGTGGTCTCTAAGTTTTCCTCTGAATAGCAAATTCCATCATCTTATCATCCTGTAGCTATGTATAAATATAAATATGTATATATATATATATTTATATATATATTTATATAACATGTATATACATGTATATAACAAATACATGTTAACAAATACATGGTATATATCTGTATATGTTATACATGTATATGTGTACATATATACACACATATACATCGTATGTATGTTATTAAGAGTTTTTGGGAAACAAAATTATTTTGAAAACAAAATAATTCATTAATTAAACTTCAAAGAATATCATCATACAATTCCAGGAAATAAATGTTAGTAAATATAATTCTTGGGTGAGTCTGGTGATTACATAATTACAATGTAATTACATAAAATGAATAATGGGAAAACAGAGCAACATAGATATTGAGGAAGCATTCATTCAAAGAAGGCAGAGCTCAAGTTTTTAAAAGATAAATTCAGATGCCTTGAAATTAAATGACATGGCCAAATGACCAAAAACTTGTCAATAAATTAACCCTATGAAAATGATGATATAATTCATGATTCT